GACGTACGTCATTTTTTAATTGAAAAACAACATATGTCAAACATTAATTGACAGAATCTAAAAATAACGCATAACATATACAAGTATCATCAATAGTGGAAATTCTGAACGTGAATTCAGTACCCAAGATATTCCCATATGTGATCCACATGTTATGTTTTATGTTGGTGTCAATCGCAAGCCAAAAGAAACAAAAGACTATGTTCATTTCAGCACAGAATGCGCTGAATATAATTCGGTCACAGGATCATCTAACATTAGAATGGAAATGACCATTCTTTACTTGTCACAATCAATATGGGTTAAATATTTAGAAGTTGTAGGTGCTAACATCAAAGTTAGAACCAAGTATATCATATCAGGGAATGTCAAATTTTCTGATTCAGGTAAGATGATGGTTGAAGCCACAAACATAGACTATGTGAAAGGTCTAGAGTTTAATTATAATACAAGCGAAAACCTTTCTTCCAGTAAAACAAATACACGGTCAATTATCAATTTTATCGCAGACGACGTTGATTCCACCAGCCCACAAATAAAAAAGCCTAAATTCAGTGCTTTTTCTAGAGAGGATGATAACATCACTGCCCCTGTAGTATGTGAAACTATAAAAATTACTATTGATATAGAAGAGGAATACGGTTCATCATCCGAAAGTAAAAAATCACTGAATCATATTGATCTTGAAACGATCGATGATTATCAAGAAATGAAATTTGATCAAGATAATAAATTCATGAGAGAGTCTAGTGAAGATCATACCCAAGACGAAAAGCATACTGAGGAGTCTCAAGCAAAATCGGGAACAAGAAGCACAAGATCAAGCAAGAAAAAAAAGAGAAAAAATGTAAAAAGAAAATAAAAGTACAATTAAGCACTCTAGAATTGAGTTATAGCTTTTAAATTCAATAAAATTAATAGGATTTGAATAAAAAAAAAAATTCTTGATAATAAAGAATGTTTACAATAATATAAACAAGAGGTTACTTAAAGCAGTCATTAATATTCTATAATTTTGATTTGATCATCTTTACTATATACGCATGCAAGTATCATTTTTATATGCAGTGTAATCATCTTTTTCTAATATAGAAGGCACTTAAAGCCAGCTCTATTAAAAATTTAAATTAATGTTAATGTTAGGGTCATTTTAGGGCCTCACAGACTAATATCGAAGGGTTTCTAGACGCAAAATCGTCCCCTCAGCACTTCTTCTTAATGTGCCAAAATAGGTTCAGACATTCATTTCTTGTATTTTTAGCATTTTTACTTTTTTTCCTTAGTCGAACTGATCCATTAAACAAAAATTGACAACTTTGATCGGGCATAACGTGATGGGCCTGTCTTTAAGCGAACTTAGATCCTGATCAGAAATATATAATTATTTAACGCAACATTCAATGACAGTTTTATTTAGCAGGCGACACTATACTGGATTCTAATCCTATGCATTCACATAAGAAATAAAGGCTTCAATCAATGCCTCAACTTTGGACCCCAAAGGGCCAAAGTTGGTGCAATAAATTTAAGACGAAACATTTAATGACGGAAATGCTTAAGAAAATTTTATTTCCGAAAGAAAAATGAGAATACAACAAACAAATCTTTCGTTAACACATTATAGACTGCAAAGCCGCCTACATGATCATGTTTCTAGTTATATAACAAATAAGTGAATTAAATACTACTAAACAAAATAAGATTTACTAAAGTCGAAAAATCAAGACCATATATTCGTATATAAATTGCGATAAATATATTTAAATCTTAAAGTCGTCAGTAATAATGATAAATACAACCTGAAACTAGGGCATTCTCCAATGTTAATAGGAAATATCTGTACGTACGTACGTATATTATCAGAATAATGCAAATGTTAAAATCGGTATGCCCATATCTAGATAGTATCAGAATAAAGTACAGTACGTACCACTAACGCTAAAGGCATAATAACACGTGAAATCTTAATATTTCAACGCCCAATCAAACTAAGATTTTGCGAACACGGCATTCTAGATGGCAGTTAACCATACACTTCGTGCTTCGTACTACGTTCCTGGTATGTTTTTGATAATGTAGATCGTTTTTGATTGTTTGATCAACAACAATGAGTTCTATATGATTATCGCATTAGACCTAAAGATTTACAAATTTAGCGTGAATACCATGCGTGTGACTATCTACGTAGAGGATTTTAATAATTCACAGTAGGTTTCACCTTGTCGTATTATATTTATATGAATTTTTATGCTAATGTGGTTTTAATTTACTATTATATTCTTCATTTAAACGATTTTAAATGATTTAGTAAATCAAATTGACAATTTAGTGACATTGATATCAATTCTTTAATGGAGTCAATTTAGTATAGATCACACCTACTTTAACGATATTTGTATATTTGATTCAAAGCAAATATTAACGAAAATAGCGAATTGCAAATTACGCTTTTCTCTATAGCACAAATGTAATGATCTATGACGGATATTGAACTTATTCAATGTCTAATTAAAAAAAATATTTAACACTGGAATATGTGTTTAGTTAATGACACGACCTGTTTTTTTTTCCTTTATTTTACCATTACTATCATATAGTATAAATTATTACAACCATGAAATTAAACCTTTTAGTTAATTTGTTATTAATTATTTCTGCTTTACAAATCTATCTGGTGGTGGCAGTTTATGCTTATGAAGAACCTTTAGCGAAATTATGGAAAGTAAATTATAATGAGTTACCTACGCTATTGGGTACGAAGAGATTTTAACGCATGTAGATGGACTTCTAAAGGCATTACTAGAACAATATGATACAAGTGTAGGAGGAACTTTCATAGATGTGCCAAAGAATAAAATATATATTAATGTATTAAACGATAAAATGAGTGTGGTTAGACGTGCTTTAAAATCTCATTTTCCACAATATAGTCATTTATTTGTTTATAAACCAGTAAAAAATTCCATAGCAGAATTATTACAAGTGTTTAAGCAAATATTAGATATAGGCACAAGACTTAATCCCTTGGAAATTTCTTGGTTTATTTATGTAAAATCTAATTACGTCTTTCTAGAATCAAAACATAAAAATGATGAAGAAAATAGAGAGTTTTTCGATACCATCAGACAAATTAGCAAATATAACGAAATTGTAAAACATAATAATATTTCAAAATCTGATATACTTAATACTCGATCTCCTCTTGTCGAAACAAATAATATGGAGATAGATATTATAAATACACGAAATATAAATATTCGAATCCTGGCTGGAGATGGAATATATAATCGAAAACGTAAGAGTACATGTTCATTGGGTTTTTGGGCAAAATCAAAAGACTTAAAATCAAAATCTACTTATTTGGTAACCGCAGGACATTGCGCTAACAACATTTCAGACTTTATTTACTATCGTCCATGGAACAGCAATGTTACTTTAAAAAATTATATTGGGCATATGAAATCAAAAAGTTCAACCATGATCGACGTTGGTGTAATCTCTATCAGTAATCCGAAATTTATAAATATTTTCGATACAGCGGTTGTTATAAGGAACGCTGATTCTGAGCAAAATGATGAGTTGATTGTTGTTGATGACAAAGTTGTATCAAGTTATGGTGCTCATATATGTAGATCCGGCTACAAATTGCATGTTTCTTGTGGAAAAATGATTGGGACCAATGGATTTTTTGCAGTTAATAGAGAAATGTTCTTATACCCATTAACCTTTTCAAGCGCGGAAGGTGCTTCTGGCGACAGTGGAGGGCCCGTATTTTCTTATAAACAAGATTTGCGACATGTGAGTCTAAATGGTATTCATATAGCGGGTAGTGGTTATTTTTCCATGTATTTACATGTAGAGAAAATTCTTAGAAAGTTTGAATTAAAGCTTTTTTTTGGGCGTTAGTTCTAGTAATACTGGTTAAATTAGATGAATTATAAATTGATTATGTATTATAGTATAGATAATTTTTTAATGATACGTAGATATTTGTTTAATTGTAATATTGCTGTGTTTCTTTGCTTTTGTTCAGATTAATATAATACTCGTTAAATACAGTATAAAGCACCATAAGGGATAATATTAACTGTTTTAAATCACACGTACGGCGTGTTATGCGTCATTTCTTAATTCATGTAAATTATTAATTACGCATTTCATTTTTCAATTTGAAAATGATACGGTGTTTTCAATAGATATTTGTATAAATTTACGATTAATAAAGAAATTATTACGACGCATTTAAACTTATGTGTATATTCAAATCTATGCAAATTTCGAATAATTTTTCAATTTATTTCAATTATTGGTTGCCATATTTTATTTTTAAATTAGAAAACGGCATAGGCCATTTTTGTTTTAAAAAAGTAATTATTACGATTTGATTAAACATACGCTTCACGTGTGTGTTCAACAAAGTATAATCAAAATTTTATATACATATGCAAAATATTTTACATATACTTACTTTAACAAATAGAATACATCCATGTCATCTCAAGCATAACAAATTTATCGATAGTGACTTAATTTATTCAATTATAGTTGGACGTTTTCGAATATTTTATATGAATATTTTAGGTTAAAAGTGTTTTAAATATTATGAATTAAAGAGTATTTAATATTACGAATTTGACATGTAGTAGTTCACCTGCAGTAAAGGTCCTTGATATACATCAGGAAATTTTAAAAGCTAATTAGAATCAATTAAAATCTAAGTATTTCAAACGATTTTCATCAACACCGTTGATTAAAATTGAAGCAGATTTTTATCGATTATAATTGATCATAAAGAAAAAAAAATATTGATTATAATCGATTTAGTTTAATTATTTTAAATCGCTTTTAATTAATTTTTTGTATATGGGGACCCCCACAACAAAAGGTGCAATGGGCCAAAAAAAATTTTTTTTCTAAACTCAATTTTTTTGAAGGATTAGAACAGTCACCCTTTTGCTGTGGGGGTTTCCATATGTTGATTATAATCGATTATTATAAATTGATTATTATCGATTAAATTTAATTGATTATTATCAATTAAATTTAATTGATTATTATCGATTAAATTTAATCGATAATAATCGATTAAATGTCAGTGATCATTACTTATTAGCTTAAAAAATTTCCTGATGTAATTAGAGGCTCATCATAGACAACTCTGCTTATTTCTCATTGGTAATAGAAAATTGGGCTGATCTTTAGTATAGGTGGGCAACTATAAAAAATCATAATAAAAATTCTTATACGGATCTCCTTTAGTAAAGGT